CCTATACTTTCAATTTTTCCAAAATCATACTTAAAGTTTAGTTTTTGTTTCCTTTTAGTATCCGCCTTTAAAAGCTTTAGTTTTTGTTTCATTTTAGTACTCCGTGCAAAATTTAACGTCAAGTTTTGAAAAAAATTGGAAGTTTAGGTACTAAAACTGATTTTTAGGTATTAAATGCATAATTTACCGTATTTTAATTTTTTGAATTAAATTATTAATATCTATATTTATTAATTATTTTTTAGTGCAACGTAAGGTTTTCATATATTTAAGGTTTAGGTTCGAGCTCGAGTTCTAACTTCAATCGAGTTAAGCTTAAGAATATTTTGAGTTTAAATTTTCTGAAGTCTGAATTGAGCTTCAATTTTTAATTTCAAATTTGAGTCGAACTTTATAACTTTATACACCGAATCGAATTAAATTTAATATTAATTTTTGAAGTTTAAATTGATTCTAACAATATTTGAACGCGAAATTTCTTATTTACAAACCTAGGTAATAGAATTTATTAATCAAAGTATTAGTACACTAGTTGGATTATTAATTGCTAGAAGCTAGAGAGTGGTTGTTTGTATAAATAGGACTATAGTTTTATACAACGAGGCGAAGGCGGACTTTATCCAATACAAAGAAACAACAAAACATCATGTGGAGTCGGCGTAGGAGCTGACTAAGCAAACCAAAAGCTATTGCTCAACGCCATCTTTATATTGCCTTTTTACTTTCACCACATCATGAAAAACTTTAAAAATTAAAATAATAGCTAATTTATCATAAATGAAATGTTAGAACTTTTAAAATAATCTATTACTTTCATGATAAAATATATAGTATCAATATTTTAATCATGATGATGAGATAACATTACCACATTTACTAGATATTTAAAAGAGAAAAGTTTTATTATATAGAATACGATAACAATTAAAATTAAAATAACTAACTAATAAAAGTGCTTGCTTTCAAAGGGTTTACTTTCAAATTTCCAAGTCTGATTGGAATGTGATAAACCCTTGTTGGGAACTAATCTTGTAACACCCTTAACCCGTGTTTGTACCTAAATATGAGTTAAGATATCACATAACATTTATTTATTTGAAACTGATAAAATTTTATTTCTTTTAAAATTTCAAATTTAACATTTACTATCAACTTATTTAATCACATAAATTCATAATGTAATATTTTAATTTCTAAATCATATCCATTTTCAGCAGCAACTCGATAGTTTAATACTATTTTATATCACAATTAAAATTGCCTAATTTAAAACTCAACCGATTATTCTGTTTAACATAATTTGTTACTACGCTCGTACATAACCGCTTAGCAACTTATCATATTTGCACGTCTCTTCATTAAATTTTCTCATACTATTTTTTCTCATTTTAATATAATTCTTGTAACATCTTTATAGGTGAATCATTTGTAATGTCTATAATCGGTGCATTTAAAACAAATTCTTTTGGTTGTTGTCTATCGCCACACGATCACCCATTGACAATAACTTATTATTATAATTTCACATCATGCATATAGATTTTCTTAAGTTAAATATATATGGTTTGCCCTCAATTTATCCACAATTTAGATTAAGCAACCATTTCTCCCTTTACATTATACAGTTATCAATCTCACCACCTTCATCCCATATTATATTTATTAGATCTTCCTTGTTCCAATCAAACATATCTAAAGAAATTGTTGTTAATACCAAAATCTACTTAATATTTAACCTATTTAACTCATACCTTTCAAATCGCACAACAATATTATGTAACACATATATTTTAATACCAAACATTGTATGAAAACATAAAATAAACCCATTTAATCATTTAAATAAGATTTTTTTAAATTATTTCATATACGAATAATTTATAATTCAACTTTTCATCTATAACCATTCAATGTTAAATAAAACCTATATAAAACTTTACTGTTATAATCAAACATAATAATAAATTAGTATTGTCATTTATTTCTGTATTGTTTCTCTCTTGTATTGTTCCTAATTTTTCTATACCATTCCTTTCATTATACTATTTTCCTTTACCTTAGTATTTCTTTTATTATACTTTTTCTTTTACCAATTCTTTTTGTAATGCCCCGAATCTCGGGTTAGGAGTTTTGGGTTTATTTGAAAGGACCTTAGAATAAATTTCCATTAGCTTATTAAGAGTTGGACCCAAATGGAATTTATTTGGGCTTCAGATGAGCCCAATAAGAATTTAAAAGGTTGTTTTTAATATTGACCCAAATATGGAGTGACTATGGGAGTAATTACCCTATTTTTTTCAAATGAAAACTGAAAAGTCTGCCACATTCTCCTCTTTTTCATCCATTTGTTTGTCTCTTGTCCTCTATTTCTTCATCTCTCTCTTCTTCTTCAAAAACCAAGCAAAGGTTGGACCTCTAAGAAATTTAAGCATTCATTGTGAATTCTAAGGTAAGGGCCTCAATCTACATCTTCCAAGCTTCAATTCAAACTATCAAAACCAATATTTGGCCTTAGTAACCAAAAATGGGTTTTAGTGGGGTTTATAAAATCTTAGGATTCTAATATGTTTTTGGGGAGTTTTGAGTTGTAGAAATCGTTTCAGATCTTTCCTTAAGTCTTGGAATGAGTTAACAACTTATTTTCATTGTTTTACTTAGTGAAAGAGCAAGGGGAGAGCTCTAAGGCAAGGGGCAAGGAAAAACTAGTCCTTGGTTGATTTGGGGATCTTCTCAGCAGCTAAGAATCAAGGTAACACGATTCTACCTTGTACATACCCGCATGTAGGTCATTAAATGTGTATGAACAGTTTGTTTGGCTTGTGGAAGCATGCTAAAGTATATCCATGGTAAATTATGCATTTGATGTTTGTAAGCATGAAATATGACTCCTTTTGACATCTAAGACCTTAAATAAGACTATTAAAAATGTTTGCTAGTCTTAGGGGAGTGAATGGGTGAGTTTGGGATGTGATTTCGCGCTCAAAACAGGGCACTTCATTCGTCAGTATTGGTACTGGAGAACATGATCGATATTGTTCTTCATGGAAGGCTAAAACAAAGGCAATTTGTGAGGGTATTATGATACTCCCTCAAGAAGTATCGATATTCGGGGTTCGATCTCGATACTCAAGGGGTGGTATCAATACATCGAAGCTATTTTATATTATTGGCACAATATCGATACCATCGTTAATTTTAGGCAATTTGATTCTTTCTATTTGAGTGATCGAGTTTGGGTGTTTTGAGATCGTATAAACTCTAAATATCTGATACAGGAGAAAACAATCAAGTTAATTGAAATCAGACCTAGAAATCAAGCAAGTTAGGATGACATAAGATTGACCTTTGGATGACTCTCGGGAAACGATTAGGACACCTGAGTTACTCTAGTATTATGACTAGCGGTGCTTAATGAGTTGAGCAGCTCACGAGAAGTTTAAACTTGACTCGGTCAAAGCTCGGTAAAAACTCAACTAAGGTTGACTCAACTCGAGCTCGACTCGAGACCCTAACAAGTTGAGTCGAGCAAGGTCCAAATCGACTCGATAAGTTTGTGCACAACTCGATAAGTTTTTGAACAACTCGTTAATTTTTTATATAATTTTCAGTAGTTATCTTAAAAATTATTTCATATACTCAAAAATCAAACCTTATTTATAATTTTAATTTATTTATGGATTGATACTTTGCAATTTAGACTTTAAAATTAGTTCATACACTATTTTGATAAATTTTTTAGTTAACTTTATTAATTTATGTTTATATTAAGTTCTATATATTATTAGTAGATTTTACCTATAGTTAAGAAAATAAGGTAAAAATTTCGATGAGCTTACAGAACAACAAGGCGAGCAATGGGCATCGAGCTTAACAAGTAACGAGCTTAATAAGTGACGAGCTTAATGAGCAACAAGTTTTCTTAACGAGCACAAGTTGAACAAAATTTTAACGAGCAACGAGTCGAGCAACAAAATTTTTTAACAAGCACGAGTAGAGCACTGCCTAACTAGTGATCGACTTGCTAGATAAACACCCCTAATTATGACAACCATCCTCTGTTTGTGAAATATCCATATATTGTTTGATCAAGTACGCATCTGATGCATGTAAAATTTTAGATCATACCCCTATGCTCGAATAGGTTTGGGATGTGAGCTTCCGATGCACATAAAATTTTGGTCCTCACTTCGACCTCTCTGGTATCTGAGATAGACTAGGGCTCTAAGTTTCGATGCACATAAAATTATAGTTCTTACCCCAAAGCTATCACGTTCTTACCCCGAAGCTATCACGTTCTAGATAGGATGTTATGCTGTTCGAGATGCACATAAAATTCCTCCGACCACATCATTAGGCCTATATCATGTTTTTTTGTATATTTGCATGTTTATGACTTTATGCATCGGTATGTTCATATATTGAATGCATGTAGTATTGTATAGTAATTTTTGTGGCACTGAGATTGAGCTCAATGTATCAAATGTGTTTTCGTGCGCAAGTCAATAGAGGATTGTTAAGGAGCCTGTGGTACTGGTACATTCTAGATCAGCTATTTCAGAGTATGTCTTTAGTCTGCTAGAGGGCATATATTTTATATGGACCTTGTATTTTTTCAAATCATAACTCTATTTTGATTTAAAACATATTAGTTATATTTGTACGTATTTGGGAGACTCTTGTATTTTGTAGACTTTGATTTTGATTTTGTTTATGTTATTGTGAATGATTATGATATTTTATAAACGTTTTGAAAAGAAATTTTTGACTTGGCCATTTCGATGGTTCCGTGTGACATCATAATTAATGGACCTTAGAGTCAGACTAGATTAGGGTATTAAATTTAGTGATATCAGAGCATCCATGTTTAGTCATTCCTAGGATCTACGAGTCAGACTCAGTAAACGTCTCCGTAAGTATATGCCCCTAGAGTGTCAAGAATACTTAAGTTTATGTAATGATGATAGTGTCATTTCTTTCCTTTCTAATTGCAGGATTAGCTTATGATTGATAGTACCGTTCCTAGTCATGAGGGTAAGGAGGAGAGTCATGCCTCCCTTGCTGGTGATACCAGTGATGATTTTATCCCAGACTTTGAGTACAAGTTTTCTACAGATGTTGAAGTTAATGAGACGACCTTCTTTTGTCACCTGACCTCGACTCTTAGGCAGATTGTTTAAGCCATTTTGAGTTCATCTGCTATTCCACCTCCCACACTGTTACCCCTAGTTTAGCCTATTATAGCGCCTCATGAGTCTCTGATCAATAGGCTCCGTAGGTATATGACCATCGACTTTTATGGATTTGGAGATAACAATCATATCTCTACAGAACAGTACCTTAGGGAGACATTTCATATCTTACGTTAGTCGCACCTCACTCCAAATGGAAAGCTAGAGTGTGTCACATCCCTTTTGAAGGGTTATAGGATTAACTAGTGGGAGACCGTAGAGTTGGCGATGAACCCAGAGAGACACACCTAGGAGTAATTCTTATTAAAGTTCAGAGAAAAATAATCGAAGAGGTTTGTACCGATGATTTGAAAGACCAGTTCTTGCACCTAACCCAGGGTGATAGGACTGTACTAGAGTAGAAAAAGAGTTCATTTGGTTGAGTTTTTATGCACCTGAGCTCGTGTCGACCAAGGCTCACTACTGTAGGAGGTTTAGGGAGGGCCTCCACTTGGACACTCTCTCTCATTTAGCACTCGACCCTCTCTGTATCTTTGTAGAGCTAACTCATTATGAAAAAGTAGTTGAGAGGATTCTATACAAGAAATCTCAGGTGATGAACAATTAAGTGGGTTAGAGTTGGAGGGCTCTAGAGGCCATTAGGCTATCTCAGTCATCAGGGATGTAGGCCAGGGCACCCAGAGTTTAGGGAGACCACCATCAGGGTTGTCTAAGGAAGCAACTCATAGTTTATATCGTGGAGGTAGATTTGGCTCTTACAGGAGACCCTTGTCATCAGTTACTGGATCGAGCGCAAGTAGGTCAGAGTGGGCACCAACTCACCCGGTGTGCTCAACCTGTGATATGAGGTTCCTAGAGGAGTTATCAAGCGATATGTGGTTGCTTCAATTGTGGGTCTCTAGATAATTTTTTCAGAGACTGTCCCAGATATCAAAGTTCACTCCCCTGTCATCATATAGAATTACAACATCTATTTAGTGAGACCTAGGGTTCTCGAGGAGTGGTAGAGCTATTTTAGGGTGGTACAGTAGATGCAATGCTAGATCCAAGATCAGTCAGGATCCTAAAGTAGCCTCATGCCAGTATATCGTTTGAGCCCATGAAGAATGCGATGTTGTTGATGTGATCTTAGGTATATTTACAATTTTCTCTGTTCTTGTTATCATATTAGTATATATGGATTTCACACACTCCTATGTTTGCTATGATCTAGTTAGAGAAAAATATCCCAGCGAAAGATTTAGAGATAGGGGTCAGAGTATCTAGTCCCTTAGGATTAGATGTCTTCGTTGACAAGGTTCACCAACAATGTCCCATGGTACTTCAAGGTCAGATATTCCTAGCCGACTCGATGGAACTACCATTTCAGGAGTTTAATGTAATCTTAGGCATGGATTGGATTTTAGAGCACGATGATAGTTTGAGGTGCAAGGCGAGGTAACTTGAAAAGTAACTTAAACTTTTCAATGATGATGGGACCAAGGTAGTGATGGCTAACGAGAGATCAGATTGCACTGCCAAAATTGTTTTCATCGTTATAGCTTAGAGATTGTTGAGTCAATGGTGCAAAGTCTTCTTTGCTCTTGTGTGGACACACGATTTTCTATTTCGATGCTTAAGGATATTCGTACGATGCAAAAGTTCAACGATGTATTCTCGGAGGAGTTACCAGGGTTACTGTCCGATTGTGAGGTTGAGTTCAGTATAGAGGTATTACCAAGTTCTTCTCTGGTGTACATTGCTCCCTATCTCATGGTCGGCATAGAGCTAAAAGAATAAAGAATCAGATCCAATAGTTACAGGAAAGGGGTTTCATTCGACCGAGTTTTTTGTCTTGGAAAGCACTAGTCCTTTTTGTCAAGAAAAAGGATGGGTCGATGAGGTTATGCATCGACTATTGGTAGTTAAATAAGTTGACTATCAAGAACTACTATCCTCTCCCTAGGATATATGATCTCTTCAACCAGCTAAAAGGAGCATATGTGTTTTCCAAAATTAATTTGAGATCAGGGCATTACCATTTGAAAGTTAAGGATGTCGACAATGCCAAGACAAATTTCAGGACAAGATATAACCAATTATGAGTTCCTTGTAATGCCGTTTGGACTCACCATTGCCCTTGCGGCATTAATGGATTTGATGAACTGAGTATTTCATCCCTACCTAGATCAATTTTCTAGTTGTTTTCATCGATGATATCCTTCTACCCTCTCGGTTTGAGGAAGAACATGATCAACACATTCACATCATTCTACAGACACTTTGGGATCGTCAGTTATATGTTAAGTTTAGGAAGTGAGTATTCTGGTTGATAGAGGTTGTATTTTAGGGTCATATAGTAGAAGTTGATGGCATTCGAGTAGACCCTTAGAAGATTTAGACATTGTTAGAGTGAGGACCACCTAAGAATGTTATCAAAGTGCATAGTATCTTAAGCAAGTTAAAATAAATCCTCACTCAATGATTACGACACCATTAATCAAGTTACTTCAGAAGGAAGTGCCTTTTGCATGGAACGAGAAATGCCAAAAGTGTTTTGAGCGGTTAAAATAAATCCCCACTCAAGCTCCAATTTTGACACAACAGAAATCGTGTAAAGACTTCACTGTGCTTAGTGATACATCAATAAATAGTTTGGGATGTGTGTTGATGCAATAAGGGAAATTAGTGGCCTATGTGCCTCGTTAGCTCAAGCCTCAAGAGTGAAACCTTCCTACCAATAATTTGAAACTTATCGCGGTGGTTTTCACATTGTTGATCTGGAGGCACTACTTGTTTGGGGAGAAGTGTCTGAATTTTGTTGCTAAGTGCTTAGTGTGCCACCAAGTTAAGGCATAACAATAGGTTCCCTAAGGATTACTGTAACCGGTTTTAATATCGTAGTGGAAATGTGATATAGTGACCATGGATGTCGTATCTGGTTTACCGATGACAATATCCGTATATGATGCAGTATGGGTTATAGTGGATCGATTAACCAAATCCACTCATTTTCTTCCAGTTTACATGGATTTCATGTTATAGAGATTGGCACAGTTGTACATCCGCGAGATTGTGAGGTTGTATGGAGTTCCTATATCAATTATATCTGATAGAGATCCATGTTTCACCTCTCAGTTCTGGAAAATGCTACATGTAGCCTTAGGTACCAAGTTACACTTTAGCATCGCCTTCCATCTTCAGACAGACGGGCAGTCTGAGCGTCTTATTTAGATTTTGGAAGATATGCTTAGGTGCTTTGTTTTAGATCTTGAGGGCAGTTGGGAAGATCATTTGCCTTTGGTGGAGTTCACGTACAATAACAGTTATCAGGCAAGCATTCAGATGGTTTTGTATAAAGCCCTTTATAGACGTAAATGTAGAACACCATTATGTTAGACAGAGCTTTACAAGTGTAAGATCCTATGACCCAACTTGATCTGAGAAATCAAAGAGAAATTTTATTTAATTGAAAGTCGGTTGAAAGAAGCTTTTGACAGACATAGATCGTATGCCGACGTAATGTGCAAGGATATCAAGTTTACAATGGAAGACAAAGTGTTTATCAGGTTTCCCCATGAAAAAATGTATTGTAGTTTGGTCATAAGGGTAAATTGACTCCACCAGTGGCTTATCGATTAGCTTTCCTTCTAGAGTTAGAGAGCATTCACAACGTGTTCCATGTTTCCATACTTAAGAGATACTGATTTGATTCGTCCCACTTTATGCACCTTGAGCAAGTTAAAGTAAGTCAAGACCTAACTTACGTGGAAGAACCGATTCGAATCCTCGCTAGAGACATTAACGAATTGAGAAACAAGAGGATTACATTGGTGAAAGTTTTGTGGAAGAACCATGGCGTAGAAGAGATGACATGGTAAACTGAGGAAGACATGCAACTTTAGTACATATCTTCTATTTAGATAAATTTTGAAGATGAAATTTCATCTTAGGAGGGGAAAGTTGTACCGCCTTAAATCTTGGGTTAGGATTTTCAAGTTTATTCGAATAGTTTTTAGAATAAATTCCCCTTAGCTTATGAAGCGTTGGACCTAAATAGAATTGATTTGGGCTTGAGATGAGCCTAATAAGAATTAAAAAGTGTGTTTTTAATCTTGACCCAAATATAGAGGGACCAGGGGAGTAATTCCCTATTTTTTCAAAAGAAAGCTAAAACCCGATAAATAGGATGATATCACGTCTGCCATATTCTGCTCTTTTTCATCCCTTTGTTTGTCTATTCTCCTCCATTTCTTCATCTTCCTTGTTCTTCAAGAATAAAGCAAATGTTGGACCTTTAAGAAATTTAAGCATCCATTGTGAATGCTAAGCTAAGAGCCTCATTCTACATTTTCTAAGCTTCAATTCAAGCTATCAAAACCAAGATTTAGCCTTAGTAACAAAAAGGGTTTTATTGGGGTTTATGAAATCGTAGGATTCTAATATGGTTTTGGGGAGTTTTGAGTTGTAGATATCATTTCAAGTCTTTTCTTAAGTCCTAGAATGAGCTAAAAACTCATTTTTCATTGTTTTGATTAGTGAAAGAGCAAAGGGAGAGCTCTAAGGTAAGGGGCAAGGAAAAACTAGTCCTTAGTTGATTTTGGGACCTTCTCAATATCTAAGAATCAAGGTAACACAATTCTAACTTGTCCATGTCGCATGTAGGTCATTAAATGTGCATGAATGGTTTGTTTGGCTCATGAAAGCATGCTAGAGTAAATTCATTATAAATTATGTATTTGGTGTTTGTAAGCATGAAAGATGACTCCTTTTAACCTCTAAGACCTTAAATAAGACTTTAAAAAAAATTTAGTCTTAGGGGAGTGAATGGGTGAGTTTTGGGAAGTGATTTCATGCCCAAAATAGGGCGCTTCAAGTCATCAATATTGGTATTGTTCTTACTGAAAGAATAATACTGATATTGTTCTTCATATAAAGGGTTAAAATAAAGATAATTTGTAAGGGTAGTATCGATACTCGGAGTTTGGTATATATACTCAAGGGGTGGTATCAATACCGTTGGTAAGTTAAGGATTCCATAATGCAATTTTGTTATCTATATTCATGGAAGTATCGATACCAAGTGTATAGTATTGATACTCCCCATAGGATTATCGATACCAGGGTATTTTTCAAGACATCGAAGCTATTTTTAGTGTCGATGCCATCGTTAATTTTTGGGTAGTTTGGTTATTTTAATTTGAGCGATCGGGTTTGGGTGTTTTAAGGTCGTACAAGCTCGAAAATTGTGATACAAGAAAAAATAATCAAGTTAACTGAAATCACACCTAGAAATCAAGCAAGTTAGGATGACATATGATTGGCCTTTGTGTGATGCTCGAGAAACGGTTAGGATCACACTAAAATTACACTTGTATATATATATATATATATTACACATTTTCTTCATGTACAATAAAATTGTGCATATGTAACACATTTATAAATTGCTCTTTTTAACCATTGGGTGTGACCCTGTAGTTCCCTATAACGTTAGTGGTAATAATTAGAACCATTCTAATATTACAAAAAATAAGTGACATCTAGTAATATATAATTGTTACCTAAGTTACAGGAAGTCATGATTTGACATAATATGTTCATGACTAACTCTTTTAATGTATTATATTCTTTTATCCTTTATATCTAGAATAGGCACAAGTCTTGGAATAGTCACACTTGTATAGCCCATCTATTATTTATTGATATCTAGAGTAGACTATAACAAACGAATAATTTATGATATCCCCATATTAACTTATTCGAGCATAACCATGCATTTCTAGTCTCACTCAATCAAGTGGCCTATTATATATTTCCTATTATGTAGGAAGGACAAATCTTATGTCAATCATTCACACCCCACTATATATATCGTGATATGTTCAATATCAGTCTTTATAGTGCAACATGTTACGAAGCATGTTTAACTATATCAAAACATAATACAATACATGTTGAGATAGTAATGATCTCAATTCTAAGGATCATACATATAGTTGTCACCATGAGAAATATCTTGACCGTTGCGTAATAATCAATGACATATACTTATAGCAGGGTCAATCCAATACAATGTTCTCCAATAACATATTCATGTATCAATTCTAACATCTCTATGTCAATGACAGCTCATTGTCATCAATCAATAACATGTTAGTCTTAAGCCTATTACATTGTCCATTCCCATAATAATACTAGACTAAGGATCTTTTAATAATAATCATATTATTATATGGACATTATTATCTTTTAGTTTATTTAATGCAAAGAAATATAACAAAAGAAAATAATAGTAATGTCTTTATTCAATAAATACGTTAAGAAAATATGTCAATATAATCATCATATGATTAGCCTTTGGGTATACTCTAACAATGACTTTACGCTCTGACATGTTCATGTAATGAATGCATGTAGTATTACATAGTTATTTTTGTTGCACTGAGCTTGTGAGCTCATTGTATGGGATATTTTTCTATACGTAGGTCAGTAGAGTATCTATGAGGAGCCTACCATACCAATACATTCCATATCATCTTTTTCAAAGTATGTATTGAGTTAGTTAGAGGGCATGTATTTTATATGGACCTTGTATTTATTTGAGTCATAACTATATTTTGATTTAAAACTTATTGGTTGTATTTGTACGTATTTGGAACACTCCCTTATATTGTAAACTTTGATTTTGATTTTGTTTATGCTATGAAAAATGATTATTATATTTTATAAATGTTTTGAAAAGAATTTTTAGGGTTGCCCATTTTGATGGTTCTGCGTGGCATCATAATCCATGGACT